TCATTTTGGGATTAACATATGGTTCAATTTTATTTCAACAATTCGCTTGCGCGTAGGGGTCTTTAGCAGTGGGAGGAAACCGGATGACCTGGAGAAAACCCACGAGGTAGGATACACGACCCTACAACGTACAACTCGCGAATCGAAACCACGACAGTTAACTCAATGAAAACGCGCACGCGCTAACCATTCGGCCATCCAACTTCTCGCCTAGCCATAACTCCAGGCTCCAACGACTCCCCAAATCTTGCAACAAAAAGAAGAGAGGAACAGGCCCACATCGTTCAAGTGAGGTCACTGGAAGGCAAGTCCTTCCAAGGAGCCAAACTTACGGCATTGGGGAAGGAACTCAAGAGCAAATACCAAGTCATCGTCTGTGAGAGCGGCGAAAAATGTATCGCCACCCATGTTCTGGTAGACTGTAAAATCTACAAGGTTGAGAGAAGGGGATGACGGAGACCACCAACATACCGCACAACGGCAGGAACCTTCTCTAGCTTCCGAGACCAGACCTAAAACTCCGAATCTTCGAACTAATCCACGATCTAATGACCACGGTTGGATTAAGTAGAATAGTGAAGTAAGAGGGGGGGTCACGGTTAGACGGGCTCGGCATCTAAACACTAAACTATATAGGGGAGATATACCAGATTAGCAGGATAGTGGAGTAAAAGAGGGTCATGGTCAGACGGACTCGGCTTCTAAACACTGATCCGCTAAAAAGACACCTTCAGAGTAGGCTAGACGAGTCCGGGGGGGGGGGGAGATTACGATAAGACGGTTCTGTCACCTAAACAAACACAGCTCACCAAATATTTCTATGAATGTAGGGCGAAAATTATTTTTAGTCTTTTTCTCCCTTTCCCTTTTTCCCCCTTTTGCATTGCGATTTTGTGTTAACTTTTTGCTGTAGAGTTGAGAGATTGGTTAGGTTGAAATGTAAAGCCGAAAATTGCATGTTTACTTGTTTCTACTTCCAGCTTGTGGTGAACCTCATAGGTGCTTTTGGGCACGAGGTTGCCACATGTTGCTCCATCTGTGGTAGAAAGGTTCTACCCAACGAAAATTTGGGAAAAAGTTAGAGACGGTCTAAGAGACGAGAATTAACATTAAAGTCAATTGGCGAAATCATTAGTGATCTGTGGCCAAACACTAAACCCACAAAGATGGCATCTACGAATCCAGAGAAGAGACGCATATGTCCGCATAACTGTTGTCTGAACAGATCAACTACCAAACATTATGTTGTTTATTAAACATGCATTATGCAAGAGCAAAATCTGCTTATTACAAGTCTTTCTTTAGGCCTGAAATGTTATCTAAATTATCAATTAGACATCAGTTAACTTATCCAGACCATAACAAACTCTCGATGTCAAGGCTAGCCTTCGATGTTGGCTGGATTAGATTCATATTTGCCGCTAACGGCTATTGATAATTAAATCAATAAAAGTGGAAAATCGAGACTATGCTGTTTATATTAATGATTTTAGTAATGATGACCGAGACTATGCAAACATTTCACCCGCTTCTTTCTCGGCTCACAGTGAATCAATTTGACTGAAATTTTCAGCAAATTACCTTTACACTATCTAGTTTTTAACTATTATAGCGAGCACTGCCATCTCTTTATCTTATCTCCCTTATCTTTAAATAAAGCGAAGAACTTCCCACTAAAACCACTCCATGACCTAAGGCCGCTGATGGAAAGATTACAAAATTAATATTCAAAATAAGCAGGAATAAGTCCCGGCTCTCTATACGTCTTGTCTGCGATATCAATTTTAGTGGAAGCAGACGTTAAAGAACCAACTCCATCACGAACACAATGAATGTAAACGAAATAAGATTTCCGATATATTCAGAACACATTGACCGAGAAAATTCATCGGGATTTTACGACGTCGCTTCCAATTGTCAGTGGTGCAGGACGGAGGGCCTGACTATGACAGCTGTCATTGGGATTTTACGACGTCGCTTCCACTTGTCAGTGGTGCAGAACGGAGGGCCTGACTATGACAGCTGTCTAGTCGTTTGGATGGGACGAAAAGATCCCTTGGCAGTTCGAATTCGGTATAAGAGTGGGTCATAGTGCATGGCGTATACCCGTCTTCATCATCCCAGTCGAAGCAGAACAGTAGGACGTTAAATCCTATTTCATTTCATTCCATTTCAGAACACATATCGACCAAGATATCTGAAGGTTTATCTGAATTTTATTATCTGAACATATGCTCAGATCAAAGCTCGAGATGTTACCAAAATGTATCAGGAAGTTTTGATGATTTTATGAACTTGTCCTTTGAACACGAATAACAAGTAAGTGATCATAAAGAAAATAATTCTTTGATGCTTAGAATATGCGTAGTTCCTAATGGACAATTAAATTAGTTATATCAACGTTATGATTATTTAGTTATGTCCTCAATAACTTTTTATATTTTAATTTGTGGGTTATTCTTAATGTTTTATCGTCGCAGAATGCGCAATAACATGTAAGGTTAACAACAGCTGGAGTAGAAAACAAATCCCTTTGTCTATGTTGCCTGTAATTTATTACTATATATATATATATATATATATATATATATATATATATATATATATATATATATAACAGCCTGTATATATATATATAACAGCCAACATCAAAGAAAAAATCATGAAAGATGGGTTGTCAGGCAACGAGACACACGTCTTTAACCTGTTCCACAGAGGATTACGAAAGTCTTCTAATATCTAAAAAGATGAAAACCTTTAACACGTGACGTATCATCACGCGGCGTGAATCATTGGCTCATTGGCGCGTGCATTGTTTACATAAGACGTTCTAGTTCGTACAGAATGGAGGCTTTTACTCATTTTAATACCAATTTGCACTAAATAGGAAATAATTTTACCAACAAATAAGTCAAACGCCTTTATTTTCCTAATACATAAAGAAAAATGTTTTAGAATTTAAGTTAATATTTTTGGCTCATTAAGTCGCATCGATGTCATCCTTATCAGTGATTGTAGTGGCCCAGCGAATATTCACTGCGGATCAGTGTGACACGTCTTGTCATGCCCATATTATCGTTTGAAAGTTTTTTTTCTATTCCATTAAATTTCGATAATAAAATGTTAACCCTATTGATGTGTACTTATTGTGCTATTCTACCAACAATACTCTATAAACATATAGATGTACGGGTTCAATGACAGTTAGGGAGGGGGCAGAGCCCGAAATGCCCGAAAAAATTCCGGGTTACAGGAGGCGGCGTCGGTCTTCTGTGTGAGCGAAGCTTACTGTGTACGGACACCCCAAGAAAATATTGGAACATTTGACGGCCCCAAACGTGTTTTCCTGCTCGTCTAGCCCGTCAATACAGCAACTGAAATGTGGTCCGCTATAGCCTACCTAATAGGTCGCTGGCCTGAATCCCAAACAACAAATCAGTCGTCGTGGGGTGTAGGGCCTTGCCATCCCGGAGACAATTTTGAAAATCTAACCGTCGCAAATGCGTTTTTCTGCTATTCTAGCCCGTGAGTGAATACAACAACTTCAAAGTTGTCCAATGGTTTTGTAACCGAAATCCCACTCTATGCCGTTCTGATTTCCAACCATCCAATCAGACTGTTGCAGCTGCATTCATAATTAATAATCGATGCCGAAAAATGTCGCACAAAGTATAGTGTCTCCAGGCAAAATGTTTTAATCCATAGTCAATTCAGTACAAATTCGTGGTATTCAATTAAAAGAAAAATACAATTAGTGTTTTATTAGATTTCTGACACTTTATTTTGTCATCTAGATGTAATAATATTTTTTTTTTTCAGTTTACCCGTCTGATTGCCTAAAAGTTAGCCCCCCCCCCCCCCAACCCCACCGCCCTCCCACCTACAGTAAATAATCCGGATTATTGAAAAACAAATAAAAAACCATCCCCAGCCCCAGAACCAAATAGCGACACTACAAAAAGAAATAAGAACAGTGTTGTAATAACAGAGAGAGAGAGAGAGAGAGAGAGGGGTTAACGTCCACTCGACACAAACTAGGTCATTTCGGGACTAACATGGTTCAATTTTATTTCAATGAGAATGAGAAGACACATGTAAGTTGATCAATGTGTTTTAGACGGAGCAGTGTATTAGTCTATTTGGGTAATATTAACAGTCCCTGCCCCTTACAGAACTATAATGTACTCCACCTTACGGCTGGCCCCTGGATCCATTTACTTGATTTGGTATTTGTTTATTTGGTGCAATGTCTATTTTCTGTCTTGTCCGCAGGTTTATCTTGTAGAATTTTGTTTTGTGTGTAGTGCGGTCCTCATGCACTTACTATTAAAGTTACGGAACATAGCAGTCGAATTTCTTGCCTTTTTAAATCTAATCTCAAAACTGTTTTTTAATATAGACTTTGACTAGTAAATTTATCAACATTTTTAGTTTGTTGTAATTTGTATTTATTTTACTGTTTTTATACATATTTATATTTTACTGATTTTATTTTTATTTTTGTTTTCATAATTTACAGCGCACCTGTTGAAGATATCGCTATATAATAATAATAAACAGTGCTGACAGCGTTATCTGATAATAAGATAATTTCTATCAGATGTACATGAGGGGAAAATAGTCGGAAATCGATCGCTTTTAGGAATCAATACATATCTATATATCTACAATTAGATAATGTTTCTGGTAGGTTTCTATTGGTCTCTAAATGTCACGTGTTCAAAAGTAGGCGGAAACATCTTTGACAGAGATCAATAAATATATTTTAAAGGTATCTTTTACCCATGGTGTATGTGGTAGGTTTCTATTGAACGAATGTCTAGTTTTTGAAATAAGGGGGCGTGTCTAATCAGTAGGCGGAAACGATCTTTGAGAGGGGGTGGGTCTCTAACCTGTGGGCGGAAACCATCTTTGAAAGGGGTCAAGATTTATTTTATCAATGTGTAGCTGGTAGGTTTCTATTGGACGAAAATGAAGTTTGTGACAAAAGGAGGTGGGTCTAGCAAAATTTGTTTGGTATGTAAATAAAGTGTAGAGTTAAATAATTTATATCAATTGTTTGTGTTGTGCATATTGTGTGCATATATCAATGATGAAAGCTTTGGTGGTCACCATATTTCTTCTTGTGGAAACATTAGGTAATTATAGCCAGATTTATATTCTTTATTTATGCAATATTGTATTCATTTAAAGATAATTTCCCAGAAAAGTATTTATAGGGTGGTTATTTCCAGTAAAAGTATGGCAATTTTGCTATATATGAAATGGGAAGTAGAAACATCCAATCTTACTAGAAAAATACTGGATTCCCTGAAAAACACCTATGGAGTGCATACAGAGAAAAATATAGGGGTTTCCCCAAGCGCCAACCCGACGATTAATGGTGTCTGTTCGAGTAACGTCTGATCTCCTAGCATTAGTGAGCGCTTAAAGGACAATATTGGTGTCAGTCATTATAAAATATGTGATAGAACTCGTTAAATATATCCCAAATATAACTTTAACATAGAGATTATTGCTACGGGAGATGTGTATCAAGCACGTGAAGAAACGGGAAGTGACGACAAACATGACAAACACGAGTTATCCTACTATATAACTGATTGAAGCAACGAGCGATAACAGACAAACGATCGCATTTCATTTTACTGATAATTCAGTTGAAGATGAAAATCGAGCACCCCCTAGTAGTTCAGATGGCACAAAAACCCGAGCTCCCGTGTTTATATTTGCGTTGTAATTCGAAATAAGAATAAGCTGTAGTGCCGCTGCCCGGGCAAAATTTCCCTCATAGCACACTTTATGACGTATACCTGTCTTCATTAGCCCAGTAAGACGTTAAACCCCATTTTATTTCATTGTCAAGTTACAATTCATCATAGCTTTTCTTAAACATATATATCTGATTAAGAATCTAATTTTATCATCGTTTCAAGGGTCGACATATTACACCATAAAGAAATCTCCCCCTAAGGCCATACGAATTTGATTTTCTGTTCTTCAGCGCCACCTGTTAAAATTTTGCTTTTTATTTCTTCTAACGCTTTAGTTCCAAATTATAAAAAGATACATTATGGAAGATTCGATAAAGAAATAACAGTTCTCGCTATAATAGTTAAAAACTAGATAATGTAACGGGAATATTCTGAAAATTTCATTCATATAGCTTTACTTAAAAATACATTATGGGACATTAGATAACGAGTTGGCAGTTCTCACTATAATAGTTAAAAACTAGATAATGTAACGGGAATATTCTGAAAATTTCAGTCAAATTCTTCACTCTAAGCTGAGAAATACTCATTTTAAAAATCTTGTAGCCTCGAATATCATTGCTGTCGTTGTCTCGATTATCCATTTTTGCGTTTAATCATCAACGGCTGATGGATCAGATTTAAATCCAGTAAATATCACATTTCAGGTCTAAAGAAAGATCTGCAACAGGCAGATTTAGCTCTTGCATAATGTATGTTTATGTTTTGAAATTTTAAAATAAACATTTTTCATATGACTCGGAGGGGGGGGTGGGTGGCTGAATGGTTAGCGTGTGCGTGCTGTATCATTTAGTCGACTGGCGTCGAATCCCCGGTTGTACGTGGCAATGAGGAGGGGCGCTTGTCCAACCTCGTGGGCTTTCTCCGGGTCCTCTGGTTTCCTCCCACTGCTAAAGACCCCTACGCGCAAGCGAATTATGTAAATAAAATTAAACCATATGTTAGTCCCGAAATGACCTAGTTTGTGTGACTCGGAAGAATTGACGATTGAACTGATTTAGGTGAAATGTTTATTTTACAGGATGTGAAATAGGAGAATATAGTTTTCTACGACACAGTGATTGTAACAAGTTTATTATCTGTCTTAATGGTATTCAAACTGTATTGAGATGTGAAAATGGATTACATTGGAGTGAACGCAGATTATCGTGTTTAAGCCCAGAATTTGCTAACTGTACTGCCGGTACAGAAACATCCAACGATCCTGATACAGAATCCGAAACGGGTCAGTTTTAAAATTATCTTAGATCTTTTAATCTTAAAAGGGATTTCAGCAAAGTTTCCATATATTTTAGTCGTTCTGGTGGGACGAAAAGCCGAGGTCCTCTGTACACATTGGCCTGCACGTAAAAGATATGAGTAGGCCGTAGCGCCGCTGCCCGTCCAAAATTTCCCTCATAGTACACTGTATGGCGTATGCTCGTCTTCATTAGCCCAGTTCGGAGCCCAGAATAGTAGGACGTTAAACCCCATTTCATTTACCCAAAGGTCTGGAGAGTTGATTATTGTATTTATACAACATGTGAAGCCCAATCTAATTAAAATACAGATCTATATTTCGTTTCGTTTTTTTATACTTTCGATGGCCTACACTACATTTAGATATAGTAGGAGTTCACGTTCTATGACGCCAGGTACCAAGCAAGCGACATTTGACCCGATTACGTCAGTCATTCGATTAACCAATTAGCGACCGCATGTATTTTTTTTATCTACTTTTGCTTTGTTTTTATTTCTATTGCCGCTAATGTCAAAGAACAGTTCCGCGCAAAAAATAGGTCAAACGCTCGATTCGACAGACCATTTGATTGTCTGACCCCTCATGTCAAGCAGAACACGAGTTAAATAACAACGCTTCTAGATCCAAGTGTACTAAAGACAAGTAAAATCGAAATTTTGCATTATAAAAACGAAACGAAATTGGATCTGTGTTTTAATCAGATTGTGTGAAGCCAGAAAAAAGGCCTGCACATTTAGCTTTTACATAATATATTTTACTTTACATGTTTAATTAACAGAGTGTCGAATTGGACAGTATCTATTTCTTCGTCACCCAGAATGTTCAAAATATCAAATCTGTATAAATGGTGTTCTCAAGGTGTCGAATTGTTCAACTGGATCACACTGGAGTGTTAGTAAGGGTGCGTGTTTAAGTCCAGAAATTGCCAACTGTCAGTCAGAAACAACCTCAACAGAACATCTTGTAACCAGACGACACTATCCTGCAACCGGTCAGTTTAGTTATAGTTTCTTATAACTTATCTTTTAGATTTAAAGTAGCTAAGTCTCGAACTCAATAACATCCAAAATCTTCAACATTCAAAACGCGAATTATTTGTCAATTTAAATCAACATTGATGTTGTGATCTTACCGGACAAAGATGGGGTTCTGATATTCAATATATAAGACAAAATACACATTTTACCATTGGTACACGAATCGTGTACCATAATGCGTTTCAGCGCCATTTGTAACAGGGACTCGGAAAACCAGGCAAACGGTGACATCATATTCTTATCTGGAGAGCATACGCAATAAATACTATCGGTGTAGACTGGAATAACCAGACGCTAGAGATTTCAATTCGATTGAGACTTCTGGCGTATTTTGCCGAACATAACTGATTAGAAATTAGAGTAAAAAAGAAACTATTTAAATCAGTTTATATACATTCATATTATATGCGTTGCGACCCATTTGTGTCAATTTCTAGGTCACAAATATTAGCGATTTTCTTCCTTTAATATGTCCCCCGGATCCATTCAGTTGATTTGATGTTTGTTGTTTATTGCTTGCAATGTATGTGTGTTTTGTGTCTTGTCCGCCGGTTTGTATATTCAGTTTTATTTGAGTGTAGTGTATGCTGTGTTTCTTATGTACGTAGATAAGGGTATGAACATCACACATGTAGCATATACCTCTACAGCGCGCTATCACTCGGGTTGCATACAATTTCTACCTTGTTCCGGCGTGGTTTCTCCTTGTCAGTGGTGCAGCAAATGACAACGTCCCATGTACACATTCGTGTGCATGTTAAAGATCCCTTGGCAGTTTGAATTCGATATACGAGTAGAACGTAGCGCCGCCGTCGTTAAACTCCATTTCATTCCATAATTATGTACAGCGCACCTGTCGAAGATGGCGCTACATTTAGCGTTTTATAACAATAATGATAATAAACAATAATGACAGCGTTCGCTATCTGATGATAAGGTATTATCTACCAGTCGTACATGTGGCGAAAATAGTCGGAAATCGATCGCTTTTAGGAATCAATACATGGTGTTTAACGTGCACTCAACACAAACTAGGTCATTTCGGGACTAACATATAGTTCAATTCTATTTCATTAATTCGCTTGCGCGTAAGGGTCTTTAGCACTGGGAAGAAAATGGAGGACCCGAAGAAAACCAACGAGGCTGAATGGGCGACCCTACGCCTTGTCACGTACAACCGTGGAATCGAACGCACACGCGCTAACCATTTGACCATCCACCCACCCCCTTGAATATGGCCACACTAACATCCGTCTATTATATAGTAATTGCTCCCGTCGTAGATGAGTGACAATCCAAACTATTAGACAAAATCAGGCCATTAAAATAAACCTATTTTGTATTTAACAGGATGTTCACATGGGGAATATCGTCGTCATCCCGAATGTTCCAAATTTCTACAATGTTCCCATAATGTTCTCTACGTACATGATTGTGCACCCGGACTTCACTGGAGTGTCAACAAGGTAACATGTACCTGGCCCAGAGATGCCAACTGTATACCAATCACCAATACAAATGTTAATACCACTACAACCGAGGCTACTACCACCCCTTCCACGAATACAACCGAGGCTACTACCACTCCGACCAAGACTACAGCCGAGGCTACTACCACTCCGACCACGACTACAGCCGAGGCTACTACCACTCCACCAACGACTACCAAAAAGACTCCTTTGAACACAAGTAAATATTTATATATATTTTATTCAGTATTTGAAAGGGATTGAGGAATAGGCATAGCCTATATGAACTCTCGTTGTTTGTAATCGGTGTACTGGTACGGCATACATCTGATAAGACAGGAGAAAACAAAGGGGGTCGAGACGAATCTGGTACATATTTCATTCAATAACTTGCTTGCTCCTAGTGATCACAGACGTGGAGGGGGGGGGAGGGAACCAGAATATCTGGAAGAAACCCACGAGGTTAGGGTGGTGATAATACTCCATATAACAGACAGGCACGGAATCGAACTCATGACTTGCATAGACACTTGAGCTCAGGATATCTGGAAGGAACCAATAAAGTTAAGGAGTCGAACTGCAGCACTATACACGCTCAATGGTGGTTTTAAATTTGACGAATATAGTCCAACTATTAATAACCCGAGTGACAATTGAGTAGAATGGAAAAGGCACAGAACGAGCGAGGGTCGCTGCTGGCTTTCAAGGGTTAAAACATGGTAACTTCCTATCTCTTTGTCAGAGTCATAAAGTACAAACACAACGTCACCAGTACCATAAAGTACAAACACAATGTCACCAGTACCATAAAGCAAATAATCCGATGGATGGCTGTTGTCATTATTCATTGGTGCCGAAAAGACGCAAGTTAAAAAAAAACCTTTATATATTCCAGATTTTAGATAATTAAAATATCGTGTTTTAAACCTTGGCTACACCAACACGGCGACTGATCGCTTGAATTCAACGTGGGTAGATTGACATCGGCGAAGCAGAAATAAAAAAACCCAAAAGCTTCTGTAGGGCATGTAAAGGTCCATTATACGATCATTTGCCGTTTCTGTCAGCATCAACCATTTGAGGGAAACCTAGTACAATTAGTTTCCCTACAGTTGTCAGAATTGTCTGAAATGTAGATTAGTTGTCCTATAATTGTCTGAAATGTAGATTAGTTTCCTAGAGTTGTCCTGTAGTAGAATATGAGCAGCTAGCAGCAACTCGTGGTTTTCTAATCGCAACTTGTACCCCCTTGGTGTGACATGTCGATCCCAGTTTCCGGCGAACAGTTGTCTCCCGTTGTAAGTGACGATATCTTTAATTGAACATGCATTATGCAAGAGCAAAATCTGCTTATTACAAGTCTTTCTTTAGGCCTGAAATGTTATCTAAATTATCAATTAGACATTAATTAACTTATCCAGACCATAATAAACTTTCGATGTCAAGGCTAGCCTTCGATGTTGGCTGGATTAGATTCCTATATGCCGCTAACGGCCACTGATAATTAAATCAAAAAAAGTGGATAATCGAGACTATGCTGTTTATATTAATGATTTTAGTAATGATGAGCGAGACTATGCAAAAATTTCACCCGCTTCTTTCTCGGCTCATAGTGGGTCAATTGGACTGAAATTTCCAGCAAATTACCTTTACACTATCTAGTTTTTAACTATTATAGCGAGAACTGCCATCTCTTTATCTTATCTCCCATAATGTATCTTTAATACTCTCTTAGAAATACTCCCATAATGTATCTTTAAGACAACGACCGATTTTTAAACCCTGAGAGACAAATAGCAAACAATCATCCAGTTCGTCAAATCACATCTTTAACTTTTGTTTTCACAGGATGTAAAAATGGTGAATACCGCCGTCACGATGATTGTGGTAAATTTCAGCAATGTTCAAATGGTCATCTCATCACGATGAACTGTCCAGCGAATCTGCACTGGAATGTTAAAATAAATAATTGTGATTGGCCGTACCGTGCCAATTGTACACCAAAATAACCAAACAACAACCGGAAGTCGGCCATATTGATCAGTCCCGTAATTCTAATTTCGACCATTTCTGTATACGATAAAACTATATGAACATAAATACACTTAAAGGGACATTAGCGATTGTATGGACGCAATAAAACCAACAAAGAAATAACAAGATTTTATTTTTTGTATTCCGCTAATTCACTCCCTTAAGAAGATTGCTCGGGTCAGGATCGTAGAAGTGTTTACAAACAAGTTTGCCTAGGCTTTTGTTTCCTTGTTTTTATTTAACGATCTCCGGATCAAGACAAGTAAAATGTCAGGCGAATGCTGGGTAGCCAGACTTTACCACCGGAGAATTGCTAGGGTAGCCAGACTTTACCGCCAAAGAATTGCTGGGTAGGCAGACTTTACCGCCAAAGAATTGCTGGGTAGGCAGACTGTACCAACGGAGAATTGCTGGGTAGGCAGACTGTACCACCAGAGAATTGTTAGGGTTGGGTCTTACCGCGTAGGATGGTCCCCTAAATGTGATTGGGAAATGGAATGAAATGGGGTTTAACGTCCTACGGTTCTGCTCCGACTGGGCTACTGAAGACGGGTATACGCCATACACTGTTCTGTGAGGGAAATTGGCACTATGGTCTATTCTTATATCGAATTCCAACTGCCAAGGGATGTTTTACGTGCAAGCCAATGAATGTCTGCACGGTACCTCGGTTTTTCGGACAATCCGAACGACTAGACAGCTCCCCGATGAACTTTCTCGGTCAATGCAGGGATCGAACACGCGACCTCCAGGCTACCGATTAAAGATATTCATGTGAATTTGACCCCCGCAGTTCCGCTTCTCACCTATGATATCAGGAGAAAATTTGTGTAAACCCTAAAGACAACTATTTTCATATCATACCAGATGCTCTCCGACCATAAATGTGCACACCATTGATAATTTCCAGTGTGTTGAAAGGAACTGATCTTTTACTTCGCACTTGGTTGGATTTTGAATACAAATCAAATTTCTAATGGGTCATCAGCATTAACAAAAAGTTATTAAAACTTAAAGACAAAGCGGGTCATTCCTGGGCTTCCTAAATGGACATTTATCAAATTAATACCCATTAGTAAAGATACGCTGGATGCTTCAGTAAGCATAGATATAAAAAAAAGTCAACTACGAGAAGCAAGGTGTCTCGGTGAGTAAGAAATGAAAATGAAATGAAATGAGGTTTAGCTTCCTACTGTTCTGCTCCGACTGGGATAATGATTCCAGGCCTACGCCACACATTGTGCTATGATGGAAATTTTGCCTGGGCAGCGGCACTATGACCTACTCATAAAGAATTCCAATTGTCAAGGGATCTTTTACGTACACGCCAATGTGTACACGGGACCTCGATTTTTTGTAACATCCGAACGACTAGACAGCTGCTGTCCTACACCGGAAACGAACCAGCAACCCCCAGACTAGCGATCCAGCGTCTTATCCACCGTAAGACCCTGTGGCTAAAAACCGTAACGGTCCCGGATTCGATCCAGATATGGGGGATTTTCTAGTCCGATTTCCCCTGTCAGTGGTGCATGACGGGGGGCCTGACAAACAACAAATGTGTATAGTCGTTAGAATAGGACGCAAAACTGACATCGTGTGTTATACGTTCACGAAAAGAGCCCTTAACGGTTGACTATCAATAAAGAGTAGGCGGATTCGCCACTGCTTGGGGAAAGAGAGAGAGAGAGAGAGGGGGGGGGGAGGGTTAACGTCCATTCGACACAAACTAGGTCTTTTCGGGACTAACATATGGTTTTTAAAATTTTATTTCAATAATTTGCTTGCGCGTAGCGATCTTTAGCAGTGGGAGGAAACCGGAGGACCCGGAGAAAACCCACGAGGATGGACGGGCGACCCTACTCCTTGTCACGTACAACCGGGGATTCGACCGGGAAAAAAATCACTAATAGCACACCACATAGCATATGCCAGTCTTCATTAGCCAAGATGGTCTAGACAGGTAGTATGTTAAAGCCCATTTAATTTATCTACCAGCCAACAACAGCCATTCTTTTGTTTTGTTTGTGAAATCCTACAGGCCAGTCCATATACACTAGTAAATAATGGATTTGTAATGTTTGCTGTAATTTGTTGTAATTCGGCCATCCAAAAGTTTCAAAGTGGAGATAAAATCCCAACCGATTGTTTTTAAACTAGTCTCGACACCTGCAGCAGTATTTTCTAAAACAAAAGTCTCAAATTCGAATACATTGCTCACAACTGCAATTTTTGGGATCACGCAGGCCACAGTGGATCGGTGAATAAGGTGCTAGCTAAATAACAGGTAAGTCCAGGGTTGGGGTTAGGGTTAAGCTTTAACGTTCTGCTCCATCTGGACTAGTTTTGCCGCGACATACTGTTAATACTGCCAAAAATTCTTTACGTGCAAGGAAAAGTGTATAGGGTCCTCGGACTGTTTATTGTTCCAGTCGAATGACTGGACGGTTTCATTGCCTGGCTCACGAGTCTGCAACATCGACAATTAAAGACACAAATGTCGGTCGGATTGCTGAACGAATCAAGGGCTACGTAAGGTTAATACCTGCACTGTTGTTGTACCCAGTCGATGTTTTGTGGTAAAATATTTCTGGTATCGGCTCTTGCTGATCGCGGTGGTTGGTTTCATCTGTGGCTGTATTTAGTTTTGTTCGTTTGTTACTATAACTGTAGTTACTTCCCTTGCACCGTGATGTGTCTTGTTAGCTGATCGGCTTCCGTTTCCTTTTCCCGTCGTTTCATCGTGTAGTACATGTATAACGAGAATTGGTTACGAGGAAAGTACAACTAGGCCATTCTACATTAAAACAGCACGATACTTTACTTAAATTAGTCCGCCTGTGCGCTATTGTTTTTAGCACCAACTCCAGTCGATGCGACATGTACTTTCCTGTGCTTGGGGAAGACACTGGCCATTTTATAAGGGAGTTAATGACTATATTTTGACATAAAAATGATTGTCACGTGCGCGCTGTATCATAAGGTCTGTCATTGAGTCAACTGGCATGGTTTTGATTCCCCAGTTTTACGTGGCAAGGAGTAGGGTTGCCTGTCCAGCCTCGTGGGTTTTCTCCGAGTCCTCCGGTTTCTTCCCACTGCTAAAGACCCCCTACGCGCAAGCGAATTACTGAAATAAAATTGAACCACGTGTTAGTTCCGAAATGACCTATTTTGTATCGAGTGGACGTTAAACTCTCTCCCCCCCCCTCTCTCTCCCTCTCTCTCTCTCTCTCTCTCTCTCTCTTTCGGAAATTAATGGTGAGTAAAATTTCAATAAAAAAAGTTTAAACCGAGTTATTAGTAAATGAATACTGAAATATGATAATATGAAACTAATAGGGAAGTAGCATCGCGTGCTCCGTCCAGAAGAGTGTGTATACTGTAGCCTACCATAGTTATGCATCGTTAGTACAGTGTGCTATGAGGGAAATTTTGCCCGGACACTATTTTGCACTACGGCCTAATTCCGACTGTCAAGGGATCTTTTACGTGCACGCCAATGTGTACACGGGACCTCGGGTTTTCGTTCCATCCGAACGACTAGACGGCTGTCCTTGTCAGGCCCTCCGTCCTGCATCACTGACAAGGGCGAACCACGCCGGAAAATCTGGATGAACTTTATCGGCCAATACAGGTATCGAACAACCTACCTCCAGACTAGCTAGCCACCGTGACCCCCCCCCCCCCCGCCATATTCAAACGTTGTCTATCCAGATCAATAGCATGAGACGCGATATTAGCAACTAGCGTATTTTTTAGACTTTTTGTCCAAGTAATATGATAATTACTGACTTTATTCAACTTGTTATTTATAATCACGTGGGGAATATCCAATAAAAACTTAAGATATGTACACGAACTGGATCAGAAATACACCCCCACCCCCGTAAGAATACCAGTCCATTATTTGCTATAAGATAAGCGTTTTCCATTTTCATATTACTATGAGGTGTTCGCCAACCTAACTAATCATCAATTCGAATTATAATATCAGTCGGCAGTTTTGGAATTTCATCCGTAACCTTTTCTTGATCTGTTCTGCGAATCCATAAAATTGTTTTATATAAAAATCATCGAATCGGACCAATTTGAAAAGCCATGTCTGGTGCCACGATAGGTTTTGGTTGTCCAGTAAAATGTTTTTAAGCAAGTTCTAAAGCGTGTCTGTCTCTAAGAATCGTGGTTAAATTAGTTTGCTTTTCGTAAAGATTTTCACAATATCGGAGGTGAATTTCTCCACCAGATATAAAAATACTCTGGGGAAGCAGAAATTAAATCCCAGAAACATATAAAATATTTTCTCTTTGAAACGATCATTAATAACCCACTCTACACTGTTAAAAATCGGCGTAATTAAAAACTATAAGCAGTGTTAATTAAGTGTAAACTTTACATCACAGCTAGCGTTTTTAAAATGTAACACTTTCACAAGGATAACCAACTAAAAGAGCTACACATTACAAGTGTAATCGATAATCATGACTACTGAACACCTGAATAGGTGTAATTGTGGGGTGTTTTAGATAAGCTACACCACTACCAATGTTATACTGCATTTACACCAAAGGATGTAACAATTATTGGGGTATAAATCCTTAGCAAAAGTGTAATCGATATTCATGAGCACTGAACACCAGGATAGGTGTAATTGTAGTCCCTAGAGGGTGTTTGGAATGAGCTACACCTCTACAAGCGTTTTATTGCAATTACACCAACAGGTTTAATTATTATTAAGGAAACACTCCTTCGAATAAGGTGTTAATTTTACGCCGTATCTTGCGTTACAAAAGTGTTTGTATATACTCCAATTTGAGTGGTTTTGTATCATGTATAATAATCTTAATAACATTTCATAACGCCTCAAGTGTAGATTATTTTAGCTTGTATACACTTAAAGACGTGTAAATTATCCAAAATATGACCAAATACTATATCTTGATTAATTATTCTTAATTCAGGTGAGGGACATAAATGAATAAACCACATTATTCAGCTAAGTTATCAGGATATGTGTATTGATTTTTCCTCATGATTTATATTCATTGTAAATTGATACAGATTGTCTAATTGCCCAACAACAATTGAATTTGAATCAGTCTGATGGATATTTGTCAATTTAATGTCGTTGTAAAA